CTGAGTGACTTTCGCCAATAGATATAAGTCGTTTCATTTTTGACAAAATAATTGTCACTAATTAATTCCATCAAGATAAAAGAACCGAACAAAATTATCGCGATAGCCACCCGTTGCTATACGCAACGTAATCAAAAAGTAGCCTTCTAATTGGTAGAAAATAAATTTATGAAATCCTCGAAACAGATTACCACATGCACCAGAAATCAAAACTTGGCAGTCCTTGTGGCGTGTCCCATCATCGTTTTACATCCGGGCCCGGTCCGAATAAACACTCAGATCAATATCTGTAACCAATGAGTTACAACCGAGCAACACAAAGAACTTCGCGATCAGGGAGCGCAGGACTATACGAAACAACCGAAATAATAAAAATATGGGAGGCGAAAAGAGAAAAATGCCATTCGAGTTCGTATTAGACAAACGACATGCCTGTAATGCATTCGTAGAATTACGGAATGTTAAGATAATTTGATTGTATTTTATTGAACCTATATATGCATAAGGGGTGAACACGGGTGAACACACAACGACCTAATAGTAGATTATTTTATTATGATGAAGAGTGACACTTTGTTTGACAAAGCAAATTTCGCATTTGCGTCATTTGAGTCAAACAAAGTCACTTTTGATCCGAATTGAACATACTATGTTTTCTGCAACCGAAAGAATCAACTCAAATAAATATGTGAAGTAACCACCAATGCCGTGCTAGATGTATGCAATGCAACAAATAATCTGTGTAGTGAGAATATTCTACCTGCATTAACAAATCAGGTTTATCTAATTTTCAAGGTTGTTCAAATTGCAGTTTCAATATAGATACAACCACAGAGTGACATATTTTGGGCATGGACCAGGTGCTCTAATAGCAAATACCGCGCCAGGTACAGGAAAAAGACGTGGAAAATGTTAGGTTATTGAGCATATCAACAATAATAATAGCGATTATTTATTTCTCTTCATACTCCACTTTAATTGGCTCTATAATCGAATGAAGGTAAACAATATCGTTGTTTGAAACACAAAACTGTTGCTGGCCGTGATTATTCAAAAACAAGTTATCCATCCCGAGAATAACGAATGAAATACAGACTTATCATTATTATTATTATTTCGAACTCTATTGAAGAGTAAATATTCTGAAATTCAACAAATATTACTCATTCAATTTTGAAAGATGAGGCCCGTTCCGCTGAGTTTCAGTTCCCAAGAAAAACTGATATATACAGTGTGTGCGATTTCAACCCCCAACACTCTCCTAATTCGGAACCCTTCGACCGATTTTCAAAAACAAAAATTCCATAATATAGTACTCAACGAGCTCTATCCGAGAATGTAGACAAATCTGGAATATTCAGATTTTCAAGGACTACTTTTGTTTGTTAAACCAGTCAAAATTTCAGGAACTACTACTAGGCAATTTTTTTCGAAACATTGACTAGCCTATTCCATTCAAGCGTAACTTGAATACCTCCATTCAAAATTTGAACGCAATATCTCATATAGGGTGTTAGTTATTCAATGGCAAATTCTGTTATTTTTGATTTTTCGATTCACCCTGTATTAGGAGGGGTAGAAGTCTGAGGAGTTGATATAACCGGTGACGTAGTCATTCAATGAAAGAACACATCGAATGCTTACATGGGAGGTTAAGGGTAAAATAGTTACTTTTGTTTTACCCTGTATAATGATCAAGCTATCAGGTTTTCTTTGAAATTAAAATTCTGGCTGTCATTTCGATACAAGAATATACGATTTGTTCGAAATTTCACTAGAATCGGACAAGCATTAAAAAAGTTACAGATCGAACAATTTTCTGGACGGTTATATTTGCCGGTGAGTGTATGTCGAGGTGTATGTAATACCTAATTCCGGCAAAATAGTATCACTTGATGTGGTTCAAGTTGTGGCAACACTGGCAGAGAGCGGTTTTTCAGAACACGAAACACGACAGTTAGCCGTCAGCCGTTCGAACGATCGTTTGGATTGCTTGGCGGAGATGGGATGGGGACAACGAGCCACCAACAAGCCCGGTTCACGCCGTCGAATACGATCGGTTATTGTTTATTTCCATGCTCTATTCCTTTTTGATAGATTCGCCTTCGCGGCGCTGTTGCCGGTGTCAAGCGGATTTCCCGAAATGATGGATGCAACTTTAGGAAGGCGTAGAAGGGGGCCAAAACTAAACTGCTCAACACCAGAATTGTAAAATCGACATTATTCGATCAAGTTTGGTTCATCATATAACATTACGTACGTCTCATTGGTTTTTAATGCAAAATCAAGCAATTTCTGGACAGGAAAAAACGCAACTTTGTTATCTCTTGGATCATGGACGAAAATATGTAGATTCGAAATCCTCGTGACATTTTACACACGCCTTCATGATTTTTAATGCAAAATCAAGCAATTTTTTACTTATCTCACAATTTAGCATTTATACATGTTCCATGCAGTTTTAATTGAAGTTGGTCTCCAAATATTGTGAATTGTGGTATTAATGGACTAAGAGATAATGTGGGATTGTATAGGAGGCCCTCAGTGCTTGACAATCACGAAAAAGAAAACAGTTTAGCCAAGAAAAAAAGAACTGCCTGGAGAGGAGATGTGTCAGGTGTGTCAGACACTATAAGCCTAGCTAGAAGCTAAAGAATGGACGAATACGAGGACGAATATGTTCAAAGCACTTCTATTCTGGTAATTCATAATGACCAGTATGAAGCTAACCCAGAATATTCATGGTATTTTAGGAAAACCACGAGAAAAACCAGCTAAACTGTCTGAAAAGAACCACCAGAGTCTCAACCCAGGTTGGGTGCCTTTCGAATCTATGCAATCAAGTCAAGAAAGCACATTTGAGAAATATGAAAGAAGTGTGGAAAGAAAGCAAAAGGAAATGTGCTCACCCCAGGACGCCCCAGGTTTGTGAAATTGCTATATGGCTTCAAGTATCTGTTCGATAGTGTTTCCTGCTCTAATTATGTTTCCTTGAATTACCAATAACGAATTCATCTTATTAATTAAAATCTGTAACTATAGGTAATAGCGAGTAATAGGTATGTACCGAGCGAGGTACCGAGGTATGTATGTACTTTCATGGAAGCTCAATAATATGAAGGATAATAATTCGGGCATAAAGTGCTGAACATTCTTGATCTTGGTAGGTATTAATGTGATGAATATTTCTCAAAAATACTAGGTAGGTACTAGGTAAAATCGTACTGTTTTTAGAACATCGTGCGTACCTAACGAGGATAGAGAGAGGCGAGGGGAGAGGAGGTAGGTGTTGGAATTTTTTTTTTACTTTTGGAGGTTATAAGTTCTTGGGAATGGGTTGCGTGAAACATTGAAACAGATACAGAACCTCACTTTTCTTATTTGTTTCCAAATGATTGAAATAGTTTTCCTCAATTATTTTGGCACAGAAATAGTGTTTTTCGGCTATTCATTAGTTGGCGCATGTCATCACATTGTGCTGTTGTACAATGCACAAAAAATGCAGCGAGAGACGAAGGAATCCGGTTGGTACATTATGATTCAAAACTAAGTATTTACTATAGTCACTCACATATAGGTAGTTTTCATTTTGAAATTTGGTAATTTCTCTGATTTCTCATCGGAATTTCTTCTGCAATAGAAGCTGATAAAAATACTCGTGAAATTTCTAAAAGAATGCAAAAAGATTGGATTCATGCAATCAAACGGGAGGACTGGTCTGACATGCTGACGAAATATGATCGTGTGTGTTTTAGACATTTTCAATCTATTAGCAGTATTAGCTTCTATTGCAGAAGTAGCAGAAGGAATTTTAATAAGAAATGACAGAATTTCATAATGGGAAGTATGTGAGATTACTGTTTACCAGAAAAATCATATTCCTTCATCTCCCACTGCATTTTTTGTGCATTGTGCAACAGCACAATGAGAAGGCATGCTTGAATTAATGAATAGCGCAAAAACATATGATTCGTATGCCAAAATATTGTGAAAAACCATTTCAATCCTTTGATTCCTCTGTAAACAAATAAAGAAAGTGAGGTTGTTTTTCAATATTTTACAGAAAAATGAGGTTGTGTTTCAATGTTTTGCCTCAACGGTCGGTTTCAGTACTTGTCTGCTAGCCAAAATTCTACATCAAAAGCAATTCTCTCAATAAGAATTTCTTTGGGCTCAAGACCAACCTGTTTTAGGTATATGATATTCCTCATGACCTAGATCAATATTTCCACATATCTAAGGTCATGGACGAGGTTATGGACTTCCTGCAAGGTCTGATAATGGCTTGGATAATGGTTTAGTTCTCGTTTAGTTTATAGTTTATTCAGAATTTCACAAAAAACAGCACCACAAAACTTGGAAAAGGATTTTGAAACACAATATACTCATATAAACCATATAAACCTCGGTATGAACCTCTGTTTGAATGAACCCATGCAATCAATTCTAATGTTTGCCCTCCAAACAGAAAAGACACGCCCACTTGGTCACGTGCTGCCGATGCCTAATCAGGATACCTACAATTCGTACTACAATTTTACAATCATATTAATGTGGTTCGCGATAGGAGGGGGGGGGGCATGGCCCATGCGCCCCCTGGATCCGCCCCTGCATTTTTTCAGCAGAGGTAGGTAATTGCTCATCGGGTAATCCGGTAATAATAATAATAATTGTGAATCGGATATCCTCGCGGATTTCTCAATCCGTTTCAAGTTGTCCTAGTAGGTATATCTGCAACGTCCGATATTCGTCTAATAACAACAGCGATTCGACATCAAAACACCATGCATCAAGTGCACCATCAGATTCGGTTATAAAAATATAAACAATTGATAAAAAATTACAAACTTGTAACAGAGATGTATAGAACATTTCTATACATCTCTCTTGTGATAACATTTTTATCGAGTCTTTTATCAACATCAAATAGGGGCAATTAATAAAACTCGCAATAAAATAATGATAATAAAAAGTAATACGCAATACCTACGCACCTTCTCCGCTCCCGCTGAACAGATTAGAAATTTTCACATGAAAGCTGATGATAGTTTCAAGTCACTGGTGAAACAACGGCAACCAACAATTGAAATAGCGAGCTCGATACACGGGAAAACGTGAAAAATCAAAAGACCAAAGCGACAAGATCACTCCCCGAAACAGCGCAGCCGATATTCCGATAAAAACACACCGAAATGAAATGAAATGAGTAATCAAAATCAACGTAATTTTTCCAGTGTGCATCCGGCGTCGGTGCACGAACAGAAGGAGAGAGAGCCAGAGAAGCGAGAATGAAAGCCTTTGGACGGCCGCGGGGGGTTCCGTGCACGACGGGAGGGAGGGGGGTTGGCAAAGCAATCGGACTGACACCAAGCCTAGGTCCGGCCATCTTGTGACGACGAAACGCTGTTCTCGTCCTCAAAACAGCCGAAATACCTCTAAATTCCAGGAAACGGGCCAGATTCCAGTGCTAAACGATCGCAAATCGTGCCCTCGGTGCGTACCTACACCTGGCTCACGTGTACTTCCGCCAAACTAGCCAAATTCGTACGTTTTCCGAGTTTTAATTGTTCTAGTGATACAATTTTGTGAGTGACTTGTCTTCGGTGACCCCATCGGATAATCCTACCTGTGTCTATTGGTGAGTGTTCATTCAACTTTCATCGATTTCATTGACATCTTTCTAGGTAGGTATGCCTGTCTTATTTATCTCTATGTCTCTTTGCATACCTATTCTATTCTTAACTCTCAAATACCAACATTGAACTATCTTCAAGAACAAATCATTACTAGGCTGTTTTATGTTTATGAACCTACCTAACCTACTAGATTGGTCCTAATCGGGTCCTAATAATGTTATTCATAAAAATTCGCATGAGGAACAGTTCATTTCAATCATTCATCAGTCTAAACATCATTATTTTTTTACCGTTTGTTCAGTTAAAAGATATTGGCAATAATGAAAGCAATAAGCAGGTGAGTACTTGAGTCATTTAGTGAATACCTAGGTATTCGCAGTGTTTTCTAGAACAATAACAATTGGGGTTTTTGTAGTTTGTACTCGTCAGCGCTTCTGTAATATTGGTATTATTATTAATACCTATTATTAGCATAGATTAGCGACACCACCAGTTAGGTGTAGTTAGTCTTTTTGTTTCAACTTCAACCCGCTCCTCCCAACATCGATATACCTTACAAATAGACAACTTCTCAGGCCGTTTGTGCCTCGGTTCTCGGTTTATGCGTACCTATATGTGCGGATATTTCGTATAGTGATGTACTTAATTATTGAGCCTCATTCCTCATTATTGGTAGGTACAGTTCAGCAGCTGCTTGTAAGAAACTGTATGACTGACTACCTCATAGGTATGTGAACGGTCGGATGTGTCCAATCCCACAAAGCGGCATTCTTCGAGGATCCCATCGTTTCTTAGGGTTTTAATGAAGCCGATGTAAAGAGATACCTGATTTACCAGCTTTTGCTCGGTCTGGCCTGCTCGCTCCTCGAATGAATCGATTTGTATTTTTCGTCGACCGAAGCGGTCAGTCGAAAAGTCGAGAACGTTTGAACTGGATTTTTATTGCGATTTGTTCGAGGATTTGTTGGCAGGCGACTTACCCGGTGTTCAACCGAGTGTTCAACTCAAAACAGTCAACAGTTCAAAGAAAAAAGGGATTGAATGAACTAATGAACAAACGAGTGAACAAATTACCTATTGTCATCATCAGGCAATCGGATCATTTCTGTTCCCGAGGTCGTAACAATATTTTTCTACGGCTATGACAGAAAATTGCTTTTGTTTTACTATATGTTCGAGGAATCGATGAGGTAGGTATAGGTATTTTATTTTCGTATATCACAATGACTTCATTGAGTTATTACCTATATCACAAAATCTAATCTCCCATGGAATGTCAAATTTCAAGCAAAATTCATAATCGCCGTAGTTTCTTTATAGTAAAAAAATTCTTCGAAATACAGGGTGAGTCGGGAGGAACGCATCAAACTCCATCAGCCGTGTATTGTAATGGTTTGCAATGAACCAACCTCCTTCAGTCCGTGATTTATTTGTAATTGCTAATCAGTTTCCAATCTGAAATATGATGACATTAGCCTCAACATTTCTTTGACATATTGCGATGAAAGGAGATTCTAAATTTGTTACAATCTCTGGATTACTTACCTATATTATCGTCGAATAACTTACCTGATATCAGGGCTATCAGTTATTATAAGAATAGACGTAAAAATATAAAAAAAAACATGTAATTATACGATTCTCATTTGTTTTATCCGTTTTGTTGTTAGTGTCAGTGTGTTTGACGCGTTTATTTTCGAGTTAGTACGATTGAAGTCCGAGTTGAAGTCTCATAAAATGTCATACATCTATTCAAATTTAGAATGAAAACAAATGAGAATCGTATAAGAACATACATGGGTTTTTTTGAATTATTTTTACGTGTACAATACACATCAGCTGGAGTTTGATGCGTCCCTCCCGATTCACCCTATATCTACCTATCTACCTAAACATTGTTCGTGGGTAAAGTTGCTGTTAGCCTTTATTATAAGTATACACTAATGCCCACACTTTATCCCGATTTAATTTTTAATGGAATATCAACCCATTTAATATTCACCAACAGCCAAGTGAGAGGCATTTTAGCAATGTGGATTTGGTACCCCAATTCTCATAAACCTTTCAAATAAATTCCCACAATTCCTCATAATCTCTCACAATTTTCCTCGCTATTTTCCTTCAATTCATACAATTCCCCTTGAATTCTCACAATTCCCCTTGAATTCTTCTCTAATATCCATTAAATAAATAATTAAATTCCCCGAGAAATTCCCTCACATCCGAGCTCAAATCCCTATGAATTCCCGAAATCCCATCACTTGTACACTCAAATTCCCTCGCAAATTCCCATCTGAAATACCTCGAGCTATGATTTCACAACTGCCTATGTTGCTATGTTGGTATAAAATAATTCCAAGTGAATTCAGGAATATACTTTCCGAGATACTTTTTAAACCTCTCATATTGTTCACAAGGTAATCTAAAATGAAATAGGTATTCGAAACGATAATAAAAACTAGGAGATTCACTAGAAAATAATCTGGGAAGTGGGTAAGTTGGATGGGGTAAGTGGGTAAGTGGGATCAATGGGCTGGAAATTATTATTCACATTCTAACTCACTTATGACTCGAAATTTTGTGTATGTTGTGTACGGTACGAGGCTTGCTACGAGGTGTATAGTGTATAATTTCCGGAGCTATCATTCTACTTCAAGAAGTGCCTAGCTAAATTTCATCGAAAAATTCCGAGAAAAATTCAATTGTGTTATTGGGAATTGGAGAAAAATGTCTTATCTATTCTACCATTTCTGTGTGTTCAATTCACTATGATCATTCTTTATTCTTCAAGGCTATTTAAAAAAAATACCGAGTGACCTTGACTTTGAACCTAGACTTGAACTCTGCTTTGAACTGTAGAAAAAGAAATTTCGCCCGCAACGTTTCGATTTCTGATTCCTCAATCAACGGATGAGTGAAACAAACCTAAAAAACGCTTTTTCGCATGTGCTAGGTATTGGCCCTCATGTTATCCGGAAGTGAAACGACGAAAAAAAAAAACCTTCAGATATAATAATGGGAGTCCCCTACCCTACCCTCTTATGTAGACAATTGTAAACGCTGTAGCTTTGGCCGAGGTTTTGGCCCTAAAGGTTTCCCCCGAGGTCCACCCCTTCTCTTTTCTCTTTTATGAATTAGGTAATACCTCCATTAAAACTAATCGGCACCTACCCAGTTTACAGATACAGGGTGGGCGAAGTGAGATAACGGCTTCGATGTTAGAGATAGATAAACACAAAATTTTAAGGTGGTCTAACTCATGAACATTACATTTCTAAAATATTTTGCGTTCGGTTTTGTCATTTCGATTCATCTTCCTAATTAAATTAAGAAAAGATAGTTTACCATCGGGTATACCATGATCTTCTCGATGATCCTGTTATTTGTTACACTATTCCGAGCACTATACGATTCAACCATCGGTCGTTAAAGTCGGCCATAGACGTTTATGTTAATTATTGCTTGTTCAAGAACGAGTAATACATCATACAGATACAGGTTTCTCATCTTTGTAGTCGTCTGACAATGTACAATTGAATAATTGTAATTATTGCAGAGTCACATCTATTTCTGAATCGTCAAGAATTACACACGCGTTATTACCGAATTCATTAAAAAAATATAGAGTAACTAGATTTGATACTAAAGAAGCTAGCAAAGCCATTTACGAATTTCAACATGAATCACATCTCATAATTTGGGGCTCATTTTAGGCTAATTTATTACCCCATTCCTGAATTTGTTACTCCTCTTTATCATAGAAAAATCTGTGGCTTTGCTAGCTTTCGCCGAACTCAGCAAAACACTCAAAACAGTTTTGAAAAACAATATTATTTGATGATTTGATATAGTGAAAATGTAGTGTTTGTTTTAGGCTGATTTATTACCCTATTTCCAATTTTTCGCTCCTCTCTATCATATGTAAGAATCCTCGGAAAAATCTGTGGCTTTGCTATAGCTTCGGCAGAACTCAGCAGAGCCATTTTGAAAAAGAATATTACCTTTTCAAAGATGGCTCTGCTGATTTCACCCGAAGCTAGCAAAGCCACAGGTTTCTTGTTGAAAAATGCAGGAAAAATTCCAAAATGGGTTAGTTATTGACCTTACAATCAATACTAACACTTTGCCTTATAAAATCGTCATAAAATATCCAGTAAAATACTCGGTATTATAAGCTTTTGATAGAAATGCATAGTGTACAATGAATAATGCATATTTTGACAAATGCTCTAGAGGTCTTTCCTCGGGTTTTTCTGTTTGAAATGTGGAGCAAAAAATTCAGAAATAGGGTAATTAATTAGCCTTATATTATCCGAGATATTATCCATTTAATCTCAATATATAAAATCGGCAAAAAATCTATGTTTTCAAAGAAGGCTGAGCTCGCTGCTGAGTTCAGCCGAAGCTAGCAACGCCTTTTTCTATGATAGAGAGGAGCAAAAAAATTGGGAATAGGGTGATAAATCAGCCTAAAATGAGCCCAAAATTTCGCCCAAAATTATGAGATGTATTTCATGTTGAAATTCGTGAGTGGCTGTGCTAACTTCTTTAGTATCTAAATTT